ACTAGTCTATATCACCTCCATGACCTTCCAAGTAATGGGCCAAATTCTAATATATTAAAGATATTTAAAAAAAACAAATACTTCAGATCTGACATCTACGACCTTGCAAATGAGTAATATGAGCAATTTTCTTGTCTTGGAAAAAAAATCTTTTTTTTTTTCTTAATTCCATTTTGGAATGTCAGTCGTATATGATCTCTCCGACCTTTAATGCAAAGACTGAAAAGGAACTATTTTCACGTTTTGAAGAAACTTTATTTTAAAGATTTTTTTTAAAAATAGTTTTAATGTAGGACCTTCAAAATTTTGACTTCAAACGTTTTGAAATATTTAATTTGAATTCAGAAAAAAAATTGAGTTTGAACTGAAAGTTTCAAATTACCTTGTACTATCCTTTTGCCTTTAAAATGGAATAATACTAACAACTCAAGGTTCATCATGCCTCTGCACTCTCATAAACGTTTACTTTAATGTGTATAATTTTCCAAAAGAAAGTTCTTTTATGATTGAAATGAACACAATGTGGAAGGTGGAGGGAAATTTGTTGGAAATGGCCTTCTAACTTGACAGAGAAATAATAATCAGTTATCCATTATTGAAACTTATATCTTTTATTAGAGTGTCATAAACCTTACAGAAAGTAATTATTTTTAATAGTTTATATAATGAGTGTATATTTAGATAAATTAACATACCTCTCGTGCTTCCGATTTAGTTTTTCGAAAAGTCTTCTTCCTCGATTGATTTAAAAAGGCTTTCAAGTCTCTTCTTATGTTTGCTATGTATAAACGTGCTATTCATGATTCATAACTAAAATGATTGCATAAAGACTATATTTTAGTCTTACTATATCCGGCAAATAAATTGCCCCCTTGTTCTTAGTTTAGGAAATATGTCATTTAGATGAATAAAGTATTGATCAAACTTAAAAGAGTTTCGTACAATGTATGATAGGTTTTTAATCTATTTTAGGGTCACATATGACTGAGGAAAACTTACATCAGATTACACTTTGTTTAACCCAAAATGTTGTTTAGATATTTATAATATCATGGGGAAAATAATTTCAATCAAAATTCGTACACTGTATTTTATAAGAATGCTTCTGATCAATGAACAGTAATTGCTTAAACAGCACAACGAAAGAACAAATAAAACATCTCTCCTTTAAGTGGTCTGAGTTTGCATTGCACACAATTTATATTGTTTGATTAGTTTTTGAGCATGATACAGTACAGACACATCCTAACATCTGAGCGAACCCGCAAAGCGAACCCTGGGTTCGCTATGGGTTTGCTCGGGGGTCAGCCATTTGAAAATCTTGGTGCACTTTGGGTGCGTTCTGGGTTCGCTGTGCGTTCGCTCGGGGTCAACTCTGGGTCCGCTAGAGTGAACCCAGCGATCGCTTTCACTCAAGCGTGAAACGGACACCGTTTCACCTAACCGCCTGTAAATCCCGCCCTTTTTATGTTCAAAATATACATGTACCGTAGTTGAAATGGTTTATTGTTGTTTAGTTATCAGAAGCAGGATGTAGCTGTAAGCGAAAAATGGAGGACGATAATGATATCACCAGAATTTCACCGTATGTTTTACACATAATTATTATTGAGAGATAATATTTTTCTGCAAGATGACAAATAATGTGTTTTTGTTTTTATTAACGTAAATATTTTTATAACTACGTGAACGAGAGGTGAAAAAAAAATTGCTGTCAGGGATTTAAGGATAAATAGTTGTATAACGTAATGTGTTATCAAATGAGTATAAGAACAAAAAAAAAAAAACATGCACACATCAAAATAATTTATTACCCAAATTTCTCTACTCCTGTCAATTAATTCATAAATAATATTTAAAAAATGAAAGGCAGATTAATTGTTGAGATACAGGTATTAATCTTTGACGTGCAGTTCAGTTTTGGTTAGGTTCGATGATTTTTTTTCTCCGAAAAAGAAATGTGTTTTTAAGTATAAACATTTCATTCTTTTGCACTATCATGTTTTGTTTCTTAATATAATACTCCTATACTGGAAAATCCTCTGTCTTGACCAAAAAACAATTCATTGCTAATATTTAATCACAGTAATTTCAATATTTGGAAGTGCAAATGTACGTAACATGAAATGATTTTAAGAATGAAACACTTCCCCCAACCCCCGATAAAAATGCAATTTATAATAAATTTTCTTGAAGCAGATAATGTGCAAACGATTTTTCAGTTGCATATATATTAATCTGTATATTTCAAACCTCAGGTCCTATAAGGATCACGTTAGTACATTCATGATTTTAATTAATTTTAAGCTTCATTTTGAGAGGTATACAAATAAGTGTTACTTCAAAACTTTGTTTAACCTGGCTGGTGGAGTGTGATTTAAGAACAAAACAGTAGTTCAATAACACTCCCCCCTCCCCCCCCCCCCACACACACACACCATCATCAGAAACAGTTACACTGTATTTAATATAACGTCGAGGAAATATAAGCGGCATGAGATCAATCAGATTTCTAAATAATTTTTTAATTAAATATCTAAAACAAACACAATAATAATGAATTGATAAACGATTAAAATAAAATTTTAGATGACCAAAATCCATAGGAAATAACAAATTATCTTGTAAAATACTATATGTAAAGTTTGATGAGGGGTATGATTGTTTCTACATGTTGTCTCTCCTGTAATCAAATTACAGGTTATGTGATTTTCATTATTTATAAACATACAGTCCATGCAAATAAACATTTGTATAATCCTGATTGACAGCTCTGTTACGCAATACCGAACCCGGCATTCGCTTTCTGGGTGCACTATTGAAATCGGGGTTCGCTTTTGGCGTTCGTTGTGTCTGGTCGGTACTGTAACTATTCGCTATCTTTACATTTCCCATCGGTACGAGTTGCGCGCCGTTATTAGCCGACACATTTTTGTATTCATATAATAAAAAAATTGTTCAAAAACTTCTACATATAAGAAAAAAAAGTATCTTGTTCTGGCCTTAAATTTAACATTTAGATATATCGACAACGTTTCATCAATTAACAATATTCAATTTCATTCATACGTTGATTCGATATATCATTTTGAACTCGAAATTAAAGATACTACAGAGTCTCACACATCTATTTCATGTTTGAATATTTTACGAGGATTTTAATGGTTACCTAATAGGAAAACTTTGTAATAAACGTGAGGACTTCAACTTTTCTATGAGCAACTTCCCTGATTTATCTAGTAATATACCATTATCACCTGTATGTAGAGTTTATGTCTACCAGTTGATTCATTAAGCAAGAACATGCTCTACGCACGATCAATTTCTAAAACGAGGCAAGCTATAGACTAATAAGTTGATGAAAGAAGGATGTCAACGGTCTCCTTTAAAGTCAACTTTTTGCATATTCTAGATCTGTCGTCGATAGCACGACCTTGTCAGCAAATAAAATCTATCTGTCGTTTTTCTTAGAAATATTTGGCCATTTTTTTCACACTAAATTGTCTACTGATTTTTCCGTTTGCCGGATCATGACATGGAGCACATGGAGGGTGTGGCCGGTCGACAGGAGATGCTTACTCGTGGCAATTGTTCCCATCTCTGATGTTAGAAGGACATGTTTCCTCTGCTCTAAATTTGTATTGTTTAATTTTTTTTTTCTTTCAAACGGAACAGATAGTTTGCAAGAGTTAAAGGGCGAAAATAAACCTCTATATAGTATTTACAACGTCGTATATACGAGACCTACATAAATTGCTTTTGATTAACCCTGATACTTTACTCATAATTTTTTCTAGAAATCGAGAGCATGAATTACTCACTACAAACGGAGATTCCTTGGGAAGTAAGAAATGAGTAATGTTTTTAACTGAAAAAAAATCATTTGATGATTTTTATAAATAAATTGCAACAAATTGTGTTTTATAGTAAAATATACTTTGAATTTATATCAGTGAAGTTGAAACTTTGTTTTCTTTCGTCTATCGATATTTGATTCTATATTGCTAAGACTTTGATTCTTTGATTAAATATTGCATAAACGTTGAAACTTTTCTATTTTGACAAACTCTTTCATTTATTTCAATTAACTATGATTTACTTCTGTTTTTTTTTTGTTTTTTTTTTTTCAAAACAGATTATCATTGCCAATTTTGATGCAAAATAAATTTTCAATATTTTTTTTATGGGGGGGGGGGGGGTGACTGCTTATTTCCATTAGATATGCATGTGACAACTATGCGTGATTATGTATAAATAAGGATATCTCATTTCTCTGATTGTATATCATTTTTATACGAGGCTATGTGTTTTCTAATCTCTATCATAAGCAGAAAAAAAATCAAGCAGGATAAAAACCACATAAAATAACAAAGCATATGATATTCATATCTTACGCGTTCCTACTTTCTAAGAATTTCAGCTCTTTTTTCTTGATTGTAAAATTTCGCAACATAAGACTGGCAACAAAGTTAACCTTTTATAAGTAATAATCTCAATAAAACTAAAAGATTCATAACATCTATATTCATAGTAATTATGTATTGCTTTTTATTTTCTTGGTTTACCCTTTTCAAAGTTGCGCACAAGTATATTTCCCAACTATTGAAAACGAATTGTTGAACATCTTTTATTCAATGATTAATGATTTATATTCACTGAATATGTTTTGAGGAGTATATATATGTTATAAATAGATAAATAATAGATAAATGACTTACAAAACATATATATACTATATCATTGATTTTATAAAAATATTTCCTAATTCCTTGCGATCGTCGCAGTGCCAATTTCATTGTTTGAAATAATATAGGAAAACAATTATCCAGACAAAAAGTCGGCTGTCATAACATGCAAAATTGCAGGTAATAATGACACTTTTTTTACATTAACATGATCGCTCAGAGAACAAAAAGTGACATGAAAAAAATATCAATGTAACATTAATATGTCATAATAATATGAGTAAATATGGAAAAAAATGCATACATTTTACAAATGATCTCTTCTTTTTTAAAATCATTTTTGGTTTGATAATGAAAATGAAATTGCAGACTACACTATAAACTTTCAAAATATAAAGAAATCTTTAGTTTTTTTTTATTTATTATCGGTTTCAGTGTCTGGGATCTCCTCGATACTCGGAACATAGTTGATGCTCTCTATCAGCCCTTCTTTGTAGAATCCTTCGAGCGCTTTCAGTCTGAAGAAATTCTGCAAAGCCTTGACTGATTTTGATCCCAGGTTTCGTTCCTTACATTCCCTTTCCTCGGTGGTCCATGACACCAATCCCCATAACCACGAATCCGTTTTTTCAGTTACGATTTCCTCTGGAGCTATCTTGAAGTCCATTTTGTAGAGGACATACATGCAGTCAATGTACTTCAAATCTGGGGATCTCCCAAGTGCCATCATTCCGTATCGTGCTGACGAATTAGCACCCTGGTTGAATTTCCACTCCATTATTTTATACTCCCATGCTTCATCCGAGAAAAGGATTCCCTCCATCTTTTGCCTGATATCTGGAGTGATACCTGAAAAAGTTTCAATTCATAAGAGCTTGATTAACTTTTAATGCAACTGTTTTATTTCAAAACAGCAGTAAGAAAAATTAGAAAATGTAACATGTTTAAAGAGGTCTATGGGCTATAGTGCTTATCAGATAACATCGCTATTTACTCTTAATATTGGACCGTATTGTAGAGCCTTCTTGGACACGATTTCAAAAAAAAAAATTTCAAACCCAAAATTAATTTAAGGCTTCCTAAAATTTAAGAAAAGACCTTGGCTGTCACTTTAGAGTCATGCAGCAACTTTTTCACCAAATTTAAACCTATGTAGTTTTCAACTTGTTGTTAAATAAACCTATGATATTCAAACCTTTCAATCATTTTATTCTTTACCATGCTGCTTTCAGAAAAAAAAACCGATAAACCCTTAAACATTCTATATGACTCTCCGAATCTGTTAATAAGATGTTCTATTGCTTTATACAAGACACTGAATCACTTTTTAGGAGTGGGTGGTATTTTTGTACTCCAAATTTTGCAGTGCTCCAAGCAAACCTTTTTGCGAAGTCCTCCTTTAAACTAAAAAGAACCTTTCATTTAACTTCATTATGCATACTAAAGGAAACCATGCGCTTAATCTAAAACATATAAAACCATAGTGGGTTGTTCTGTCGAGAGAAGTTTAAAAATGAGTAAATATTTATCATTGTACAAAAATATTATTCTATTCCTTTTACATTAATCTTAAAACGTTCAAATACCTTCATAACTTTTCTCGAGGTGATCGAGAAACGGAAGTATCTTGCTCTGGGGTACTTTTGTTGTTTTCATAACTTCACAGCCTTCGTGCCATTTTTCAAACAACTCTCCCTCTAATTCACGTTGCAACTTTGTGGCATCATTTTTTACAACCTTTAAAATGTTTTTGAATTAATGGATTTTTTTTTCTAGAAAATCGAAGGGAAAGATATACATAAAATTACAGATTCTAATAAAGCGCTTAGATTCTCTAGATATTTTGTGTCCAAGAAATGATGTAAATAATCTTAAACTGACTGTTTCTATACTCTGTCTCCTATAAATATTTGCTACATCTTCAATGTTATACAATTTTATATTTATAATATTTACATATTTCTTTAGACAAATACCACCTGGCAGCATTTCAGTTCAATGATTGTCAAACTATGTAATATGGAAATAACGAACAGTAATAAAGCTCAAAATACCATTGAAACTATACAAATCGGGAGCAGAGCAAACACGGATCTATTCAACCATCAGAGGTGGGATCTGGTGCCATAGAGGAGTAAGCATCCCCTGTCGACATGTCACGCCCGCCATGTGCTTATTGCCATGATCGGGCAAACGGGAAAAAATCCGTAGATATTCAGTGTTCAGAAAAGGCATAACAACCAGTATGAAAATCGTCAGACAGTATTCGACTTAATTATATAGGATATAAATAAAAATGAGAGTAATACGGTATCTTACTTTCACTGAATGAAGGCCTCTTTTTACTGCTTCCAGTGCGGAAAAATGTAAATCGTCATTTTCTGAATCGCTGGAGTCCTTTGCACCTTCCGCTTCCGCATTTTTAGCCAGAATGGGCTTTTCCACGCTAGCATCCATTTTCTTTGAAGCAATTTCTATCATATTGAAGGTTTGTAGTATCAAGTACTTACGTAGTGCTTTTTTCAAATCTAAAAAAAAAATCAAGACATACTTATTCAAAATACGATTATCATATCAATATTTTTTTTACTATGACATCCATCTTATTTAGCTACTTTTATTGCGTGAGACATAATTTTCGAATTTCAAAGCCATTAAACGTTTGCTTTTTGTAATTCGGGTTCATGGTAAATTTTCGGAAAGAAAAGAAGATCACATACCTTTTGTAATGGCTATTTAAATTGTACAAGAAAGTACATTCACTTCAATTGACAGTTAGATTGACAGACTTATTCAGATACTTCCCTGCCCCTCAGTTTAATTTCAACATCAAACAACTTAAAAGATATAATTGATGAAATGCAAGATTTTTTACGTCAGAGCAGGGATGGGGTCAATTACATAGGAAAGTAATTAATTAAATTACTCAAACATGCCAAAAACCTTCAATTAAATTGCCATTACTATTACTGGGATTTTGAAATGTAATTAATTAAATCACATAAAGAATAGACATAAAAATAAATAGTCATAAACATTCCTTTATCATGTTTATATTCATACCAGATTCAGATATTTTTTTTACGTTTACATTGTTTAAATATTAATGATTTTTTTTTTAAATATTACTTCGGATGCTGGATCTGACCTACATTTTCCGGATGAGTGACCGGGTTAAAGTTTTTTTGAGCAAATCTCATTTCTAAGTAACTATAAGCCCTTTATTGATCAAACTTGAATGGATGATACATCTGAGGATGCACACTACTGAACTTCTTTTGAATGCTGGATCTGACATGCATTTTCCAGATGAGTGACCAGGTTAAAGTTTTTGGAGCAGGTCTATTGCCAAGAAACTATATGGCCTGTCTGAACCAGACTTGCATAGATGATGCATCAAGGGAGGAACACTCTCAAACTTCCTCTCGATGCTGGATTTGATTTACACTTTCTGGATGAGTGACTAGTTTAAAGTTTTTAGAAACTGCAAGCCCTATCAGACCAAAATTGCATAAATGTTGCATCTAGGGATACACACTACTAGATTATTAGTTTAGTGTGGGACTTACTTAAAGACAACATTCGTTAAGCTGAGCTCTGTAATTTCTGCTTAGCTACCGTATATTTAAGATTATTGATATATTTATAAGCTTCTTGATATATTTCTACAAAACAATGGCTGCATTTGACTTGATGTTTCATTTTTTCGTCATCCTAAGGTATATCTTAAAATGTTGGTATTTGATATATTGTGTGTCAAGCTACCATAAATTTTAAGTCAATGTGTGTGTATAAAAAGTCAAAATTTGTGTAAAATATCGATTTAGTTTCAGTGTCAATATGTACATGGCCATAGGGCAATAATTAGCAAAGGATTGGAAGTGATTGGGCTTATTATTTTAAGCGTCAATTTATAAACAATTTCATTAAAATTAATTATTAATTCTATTTATGCTCTATACACAGGGAGATTAATTTGATTTAAAAGTTTTAAAGAAAATGCAAAAAAGGAAACAGCAATTCACAAAAAATGGGAAATATGCAAATTCCTTTTAAAAAATTATTATAAAATATTTTGTCCTAAAGATCAGTCAACCATTTTTGAATAATGTGTATGGTATATATGAGGGATGCTATTTTTATCTATTAGATATCAGTGTAACTCAATGTAATTGAAAAGTTATTGTGAATTAGATGTCTTTTCTCGAAATTAATTAATTAAATTGAAATTACTTGTCATCAAAAATTTGGCCAATTACACATTACTTTCAATTACATCGAAATTTGTAATTAACTTCTGTCAATTACTCTTACAAATTACCATTATCATATCCCTACGTCAGAGCATGGTCGTCGCTAGGTATCTGAAAAGGGTAGCGGGTGGATACTGGAATGGGTATCCCTTTCACAGAGCCAGATTTTTTTTTTATGAACGGTCACCATTTTGATGGGTTCCGGTGAATTCTTGAAGCCACAAATCAACATTTGAAAAAAATCAGCATTATCTTCAACATATGAATAAATAATTTATTTTGTTTCACACAATATGATTTTATGTGATTTAAATAGGGGTGTGAAAAGGTCAAATTGGTGCTAAAATTTTAGAAAGAGAGTTGAGGAGTACAAGTTCTTTAAATCACAGACAACATTCTCCTTATAATGTTTCCTTATTTCTTATGTACAAAACCCACGAAAAAGGTATTAAAATCTTATTTAACGGGTGTGGTCATGCCACTTTGTTTGGTTAATGTAAAATCTTGTATTGTATCGGATGGAATGTTTCGTTGTAGGAAAACTTCAGTATGTGTGTCTCATGGTTGATGAACTGAAGATGGACTTTTTGAAATTCTCATAGAACATTAAAAAAGGATAAATACATCTGTAATTCAATGAAAAAAGTTAAAGATATAAACTGACATTAAGAAAAAAGTAATTTTCCACACAATTTTTTTTATTTCATTTTATTCTCTTTTTTTTTTTATTAGAATTCAACTTATAATGGGAAAAAATTATAAAGGAATCAAGAAAAGGATTAATAGTTATAATTTATAGAGATATACATAACTTACCTTTTAAAGAATACTTCGATAACTACCAACCGGAATATTTTGGCATTTTTATAGTCTCTGCCTATCAGAGAATCAAGGAAATTTAATGGTTTTTTAAAGAGGTTATTCATGGAAAACCTTTTAGCCATGTCGATAAACATACCATATTATGTAATGGAAAATTTAAGTCGTATTTCGAGAAATACATCCATTTCTCTAAGTGTGATTACACAGATAGAAAGAAACGTTTTAATATCAATTTTAACTGCACGGAATTTTCTAAAGCATCTTACATGTAAAGTCGATATGACCAAAATAGTGAGATATTAAAATGTGGTGACAACGAACAGTAATCATTTCAAAAATCAAATAATGAAATAAAATTCAAATAAAGAACAGCATTCAAGCTCAAAAATCCATTAAACAATACAAATCAGGAGCAGAACAAACACGGATCTCTAAAACATCAGAGGTGGGATCAAGTGCATGGAGGATCGAGCATCCCCTGCCGACCGGTCACACCCGCTGTGTGCTCCTTGGCATGATCGAGAAATAACGGGGAAATCCGTTGATAATTCAGTTTGTAAATAATGACCTAACAATTAGTATGAAAAACTTCAGTCACCATTTGACTTAATGATAGATTGTATTTGCTGACAAGGTCATTTTATCGACCATAGAACTTACGAAATCATGATTTTAAACGAGACTGCTGATATTCTTGTTTCATCAACTTGTTTGTCAATAACCTACCTTCTTTTGGAAATTGGTCATACGTAGAGCATTCTCTTGCCTATCGAATCAACTGAGAGATATAAACCCCGTATGCAGGTGATGAAGGTATACTGCTGCATAATTAAGGGAAGTTCACGACTGAAAAGTTAAATTCATCACATTTATCATAAAGTTTTGTTGTTTGATTATCATTAACGTCTTTTTCTGGTAAAATATCAAATTATGAAACAGATGTGTCAGACTCTGTAATATTTTTTTCAAGCTCATCGGGATATATCGTAACGACATTAGAGTGGAATATCCATTGTTTATTGACAATACATCGTCGATATATCTAAATGTCGAATTGAAGGCCACAACAAGTGTTTTCTTCTTTTCACTCAAAAGTTTTCGAACAAATTCTGATTCGAATGAATACAAAAAAGGTCTGCTAATAACGGGGTGCAATTGCTACCCAAGGGAATTTCAACAGATTGTTTGAAGACCTGGTCTCTAAAACCCACATAGAAAGTGTCAACTAAAGCATGTTTTAATATCAACTTCAGAATGTTTTTAAAAAAATAATTTTGCAAATAACCAATTGCAATGACAAGGTTAGTAAATTTTCGAATTCCATTTTTATTGAAAAAGCAGCTGTCAATGATTTCAAAAAGACTTGACTTTTATATATCGCGGGGAATGGTTGTATATAAAGTTTAAAAGTCGTAGGTTTTATCTTGTTGATTTTGGTAAAATTTTGTGATTTCAAATTTTTCTAAATTTCTTTGGAATTTTTAAGTATCCACATCTGATTTTCACCACTTCTCGAATATATTGTTGCAAAGTACTCCTGACGTTTCCCCTCACTTCTGTTAATATTTTAGTGAGGAGTAAAGAAAGAGGCTTGGTAGAACATTTACTGGAACCCGCCATGTATCTTTGCTCGTAAGGATTTTCTTTAAGTTTCGGAATCCAATATAGATATTAAAAGTATTCAAAACTGACATTTGATTTTGAAGAATGTCCTCCTTAGAAAGGGAGTTATTGGTGTAAGTTGCATTACCACTTGTAGAATTAAATCCCTATTCCTCTAAAATACAATTTAAATAATGAGCCTCTCAAACAAAGACAATGTTGTTACATACTTTGTCAGCAGGGACCGAAAAGTAATCATTTCAAAAATCAAATTATATAAAACAAATTGTGAGCATCTCTGAAAACATCAAATGAGGGATAAGGTGCCATGAAAGAGTAAACATCCTCTATCGACCAGATACACCAGCTGTTTTCCCCCTTACCTCGATCGGATAGAGGAAAAAAGAATAAAAATAATAGCTTAATAATTTAAAAGCTATTACCTCCTTGATTCCACTCAAAAAATGATGATTGACTTAGGATTCTTCTCTATGAAATATGTGCAAAAATATGAACCACACATTACTTCCAATATTCCACACAATAGATATATGTAGCTGACCAAAATACCCCAGGAAAAAAAAATAACAAAGTATGACAAGTTCACCATGGTTTTTTAAAAGAAACGTGAAGAGGGACAACAAGGGAGATGCCCTTCCCTTTACTGTATGTTTTATGTTCAAGTTTTCGATTAATGATCTGCAATTTCTCTAATGGCGTCTGGATGTCTGGATGTCTTATAAACCGCTAAGAGTATTTTCCTTTGTAAACCATGCATTAGTTAATTAGT